TTAAGTACTATGGGGCTATATGTAAGCAGCCCTCTTTGCTTTGCTTTGATGGTCATCAAATTCATGTATTATAATTATAAACTACTTTGAGAGTCTTTAGACAATAAAGTCAGCTAGGTTTACATAAACTAGCCCTGGTATTCTCTGAGTTTGATTTTTTTTTTTTTTTTTTCAGGCGAGGAAATCATTAACGTTAAAAGAAAAACAGCTTCAAGCCCGTAGTTTTGGCATATGAAAAAATTAAAGCCAAATGTTTTAAGGGCAAAAGGTACCGTTACTTCTGTGTCTGTCAGCTCCGCTTTGTTGCTAGAGCTGACAAACACAGAAGTAACTGTACCTTTTGCCCTTAAAACCCTTGCCTTTAATTTTCTTATTCTGAAGCTGGAGAAAGGAATAGGAAATCAGTGGGCATCCGAGCCAAGAGGAAAACAGCCAGCTGCCACTCAAGAGAGAGAGAGAGCATTCCAGGCTTCCTCTGATTTCCCTGTTGGCTCCTTAGGTGTCACGTTGCTTTCTCCCCCAATGGAGGGTGGGGGCTAGTAATTTGCCATTTCCACCAGAAATGTAGGGAATGACTGATTTACACCCCACCTCATTGGCTTAAATGTAGCTGTTCAGACTGGCAGGTCAGGACTAAGACTGGGCATGTGAAGGAGGGAAAGCATCTGTTTCTGATTCGACTGTGCTTTTGGAAATTCGTCATACTCGTTTGTCACATTGTGAGCTTTCTTCCGCTCCTTCTTTCCCCTTTACTAGCTTTACAAGACTTGCAGGAATGCATACACACATGTTTCTTGTCTTCTCCCTTCCCACCCTTTCCTCACCAGGAAAAGAAAAAAAAAGAGAAGCTTTCTCCAGCTTTCTGCTGGTTAGTAATTTGTGACATGAGAGCTGGTATATGCATTAGTCACTTCTTCTCCAAATAGAAATGCTAGTGGTTTGGAGAGAAACCTTAAGGAAGGGAAAAAATGGCCTTTTATGTCAGTTCTTGGCAGAAGCGGTGCTATTGCTGCTTGGAGTTTGAACTGACCTTTTAGCCAAACAGTTTTGCCTTCTAGATCAGTGTTTGTTCTTGCTATAGTGAGCCAAGCGTGGTTGTCACATTGAGTTGGGCCTCTCTTGAAATGAAGGTACCAAAAAAAATAAAATTAAAATAAAATACAAGCACTGAAGACTAAAGTAAAGCAAAAGCGATTACTGAGTTGGGCCTCTCTTGAAATGAAGGTACAAAAAAAAAAATGCAAGCACTAAAGTAAAGCAAAAGCGATTAATTTCTCTTTTAGTAGTGATCATGAGGAGAAGCTTAACTTCCAGGACTGAGGAAGGAAAGTTCCTGCTTCCTAGAATCCCATACTGACTTTTCCAATCTCTGTTAAAACATATGACTTACCCTCATTTCTTCCTTGGAAAGTTTGGTCTCGGAGGACACATCGACAGCACTCAAGTATCATGTTCTTGCTCTCTGTGTAGATATGTTTGCTTATGTCACCAGCCCCCTCTAAATGCAAGCAGTGCATTGTGTAGAATTTATGTATGCACCTTTGTTTCCACTTTTTTTTTTTTTTAGAATTGATGTGCAAACTCAGAATGTGCAAAACTATTCTATTTTCCTGGATACTCTGCCTGTTGACATAATGGAATAATATATTAAGGGTGATGGCCCAGGGGGAAGATGAAACCAACATAGAGGATATATCAGGGATTTCCTACCAACTCTCCTCAGACTGAAGAAGCTGCTCGGATGAGTAACGAAACGTTTCAACCTAACAAGAAAGAAGTCCAGTTCCTATGACTCAACTTCCAGACAAATAAGGTTTTGTGCATTACATGATTAGTACAAGTCAAAATTATATCTCATGCTGAAGATTATAGGCAGCACGGCAGATGAGAATCCTTCTTGCACAATTGGAGCAAGAGCTAACTTTACTCTGTATGCTATTTCTCATTTGAAACTAATATAAATAAATGTTCTCAGCCATTGTCAAATGCATGCGCGCTCTTCCCAAAGTAAACACATTTCCCCCTGAATTCAGACCAAGAGTAGCAAGAGGGGTTCTATCAATTACAGATGGAGGCTTTGCTTTGTTATAGGATCCCTAGTTCATTTCCCACCAGCTGCAGTGGGCTCACCACATTGCCATCAGCAAGGAAATTATTGTAACAGGTTTTCTTTAAGCTGCATGTCTTAGGGAACGGAATAAGCTTATAACTTTTAAGATTTGCTTGGCAGCAGGAAGCTGGGGAAGAAAAACGGGTTCCATAGAGGGGAGGAACAAACTTAACATTTAACCAAAAGATCTCATTCTGTTAGGTTTTTCTTATTGTTGCTCAGTGCCCACCTTGGTAAACAGTGTCTATGTGGCAACTTTTTAAATTAGTACAAGCTGAAAAGGCAGCTCAGAAGAGCAGTGTGGCTTGACTAGTATATAAACTTAGCATAAAAATCTTCAGGACTTTAGAAGGATGGAGCATGCATTACAACCTTGAAAGTAGTTTTAAACAGACAACATGCTGTCTGTCCTCTGTGACTGGGCTTTTGCTCCTCATGGCTCAACGATTCTCTTTTATTTTGATTTTTGGCAATTTTTGGTTGGTCTTGCTCTGTGACGACAGTCTGCCCCCATTGCTACCTGTCTTGTTGAACATTTACTTTGCATCCGAGAGATGGAATTATTACTGTAATTTTATGGCTTATTCATTGAATGCATGTGTTCCCTGCCATTTAGCCAAAAGGACTCCTGGAACAGCTTACAAAACAGGTGATATATCCCAGCGCCTGCCCTCAGGCTTAAGAGTTTAAAATTTAAGACATGACATAAGGGGGAGGGGGGAGAAGGAAGGGAAAAAAGTGGCTGCTGGCAGGTTCTGTATGGGTGTGTATGTGTGTATGAGGCCTTGCTGGATGAAAATGAGCAGAGGAAAGCCTTTCTTTTGAAACAAACTTTCCCTTAGTGATTGGCCATCTGAGAGGGGATTTTGTTTTTTTTAATGGAGGTGTGTGCCATGTTGCTTTGAATGTATTTTGGGTTCGATTTTGTTTACCTTTTTGAGGGTGGCATTTGTTCAGTTCTTTCTAAATATTTGTATGCATACTGTTTTTAGGTTTTAAATATTGTCTGCCTTATAATAATGTAAGCTGCCCTGGGTCCCTTTTTCAAGAAGAAAATAGATAGATAGATAGATAGATAGATAGATAGATAGATAGATAGATAGATAGATAGATAGATAGATAGATAGATAGATAGATAGATAGATAGATAGATAGATAGATAGATAGATCCTATCCTGTTTTAAGCAAGGAAAGCGATTTTTTAAAAAGGAAAGCAATTGTCTGCTGGAGTAATTTGATTTAAAATAAAGTATTCTGTTTTCTAGTCTGACTTTGACGAATCCGCAGTGGGAAGGGATTTCATGGGATAGGGAGGGGCAATTGAGGACAATACTTCTCTGCATGGCCATGCAGTCCTGGCTTGCTGTATACATGATAAACTGGCTTGCAAACAGCTGCTTCCCTACATATCCATGCTAAGTTATAATTTCCTTCAGGCGAGGGTTCTTTCTGTTCAAACAGTTGACCGTAGCACAAATGATCTGTACAAATACGGCTGGGCTTTTTCGTTTTTGTTTTTTAAAGCTGAAGGCTTGTGATTTGCATAGATTTATTTTCAATGCTGGACTTTAGAAGTTGTCCTTGGTCCATCTTGAAGATGTCACTGGAAGTCCAGCTGTAATGTTAAGTGTCAAACAATACAGTGTAATTTCAGTGACAGTTATTAATGAGATTAGAGTTGGCATCTGTTGTTTAAGATAAATGCATCTCATCCATGTTGAAAATGTGAGTCGAACAATTTTTTCCCCCAATACTGGGAATGTTTTTCTAATTTACTTCTCTCTCAAACCTTGAATCCCCAGCTGGAGGAATTATCTGTCCTTTTCTTCTCCTTCGGGGGCCTGCTGAAGGACAGCCGATAACTTAGGGCACAGTTGTGCCGTTTCAATTTATTAGCTCCGGTTAGCACAGCTTGGTTTGGTTTATAAATAGCACCCCAAACTAGAGACAGTAATTCCAGAAGTGGCTGCCAGTCACATGGTAAGCTTCCCTTGTGTGCAATTTGGATGGCTTATGAGGGAAACATGTATTCCCTGGGCCTCTCGGTTTTTATCCTTTCATACTTACATTCAGGAAGAGAACATTTGAAATTCCACTCCTTATGACTGTGCTGTCCCCCCATACTTATTGAGGAGGCTTCCCTAAATTGCAGGCAGTAAATAGCAGCTAATTGAGAATAGATTTGTCAAAGGAACCATAATTTCTCCTCTTGCATCATTCGGCTTCCCTCTGATGGTTAAAGCCTAAGATGATGTGATATAACATTAAATTTGTTTGTTTGGTTATCTCTCTCTCTCTCTCTCACTCACTCACTCACTCACACACTTATTTTAAACCCTTTCCACTAGTAGTGATCAAGGTGGTTTACAGAATATACTATAAGTCATTTAGTTGCATTTTCCCTGGGTTTGCTGTTACGTGTCCATGGATTCAAATGTTACCTTCTCCTCATGCCGAAGGAAAATGCCAGCATGGCCTTTTTAACTCAATGGAAGCATGGCTGAAGGGGCTCAACTGCTGGATTTTGGCTCTAGTTCTTTGAAAAGAACTAGGAAATCTTGGAAAGGGTTGCATAAGTCAGAACCGACTTGATGACATGCCATTATTACAATATCCTGAAGAGATCCTAGTCACAGTGGATGATATTGGCATAGATACACTACCTGGGGTGCAATAGCTCCCCTTTATATATATATAAGCCAGAAGGATACGGGCCAACTCTTAAAGGGGAAGAAGGATGGATTATTAAAAGCAGAAACACAAGTTTATGAGGTTGCCAAACAGCGCTGTCAGGGAACCCTCTCCCCTAACTAGGTGCCAGTGCGAACAAGCTCTATGATGAAAACTAGCTCTCGAAAAGCTTTCAAACATTTTTGCTTTCAAATTGCAGAACGATGAGCTTCGGAACCTGTCTCTATCGGGCCATGTTGGTTTTGACAGTCTCCCGGATCAGCTGGTCAACAAGTCAACTTCACAGGGTTTCTGCTTCAACATCCTTTGTGTTGGTAAGTGATGTTAATGAGCTGTGGAACAAAGTGATTTCTTGCACACTTTCTGGAAGCAACCTGCAGGATTAGTGATGTAAAATCTCTCTCCTCTGGTGCCACCATATGTAAGGGAGGCAGCATCAGTGGGAATATTTTAATATAAAATGTTCAATCTTTTATATGTTTTTTTAGATCCAGCACAGTTGTTTCTATATATTTCCAATTTTATCTTTCTATAACTGGTCTACATCTGTGGGATTCTAAGTCAGTGTTTCCCAGAGTTTTGATATTTCTGTAACAAATTTTTGTGTTATTTTCTGGAATAACATTTTTGAACCATATATTTTTTTAAAAGTCTGTGTTTGGTTGTATATTGTCCTAAGCAGGCTTGTGCAAATCCAAAAAATTAATATTGTCATTCACTTATTTCACCCTACTTTTACTTTTTAGCAGGGTGGGATTTGATTTAAATCAGATTAGTTTAAATCACAAGTTAACTTTATAAAATCAGATTTTTAATGATTTCAATAAATTGATTTTTAATTTAAATCATGATTGAAACGAATTTGATGTAATTTAAATCAAATCCATTTAAATAATGATTTAAGTTACATCCACCGTGCTAAGAAGTAAAAGTAAAAAAGACTGACTTTTATCCACCCTGCTTTTTTGAATGAAAAAAGTCAGTTTCTGCACTAGTAAAAGTAAAAAAGACTGACTTTTATCCACCCTGCTTTTTTGAATGAAAAAAGTCAGTTTCTGCACTAAGAAAAGACATACTGTGACCCCTATGAATTATGCAAAACTCCACTATTTTTTTCTTGCTCTGCAATTGTTGCTGTTTTCCATCGCTTACTACACATATGTCTATATGTTGTAGCAACAAAGTGCCATTGAGTTTATTGAAAATTTCTCCTGGGACATTCCCTCCATTGTGTGAGAGAGTACGAAACTGAAGCGTCCTCTAGCCCAGTGGTTCTTAACCTTTGTTACTCGGATGTTTTTGAACTGCAACTCCCAGAAACCCCAGTCAGCACAGCTAGTGGTGAAGGCTTCTGGGAGTTGCAGTCCAAAACTCCTGAGTAACCCAAGGTTAAGAACCAGTGCTCTAGCCCTTTGAGAGCTTAGTCGGCCAGCACTCTGGCTTCTAAAATTTCCCCATGCCCCTATCTTCCCTGGAGTGCGGTTTAGAAACTTGCTTATTCTGAAAGGAAGGAGAAAGGTAAGCAAGCTGATTGCTACACTTGGTTTCACATCCTATACCTTTCCTGTTGTTTCTTGGGGAATACACGGTGTCTGTATGGCCTTGAGCAAACTGGCTTGAAAATTGCAAGTCTAATTTGTTTGTCTGGAATCTGGCAGCAGAATTTATCTGTGGAATGCAGAAGGGCTTCTGCCTCTTCTCTGACCTCCCTTGTGGATTAATATGTTCATATCCATCCATTTGAAGAAGAAAAAAAGGATGCGAGAAAATTGTAGCAAGCTTTGAGGCAAAGAGGTTTGAGCTTCTAAAAAAACGAGCACTAATGTGTCTTTCCCAAGAACTTTTCCTCTTTTTTCCCCTTGCCCTGCAAATCATTTGTCTGTGTTCAAAAATGAAATAGTTGATATTTGCACTCCGCTTGGCAGAGCTGAGCTATTCCCACTGCTGCCTGTTTACATGAAATTTGGCTTGTTGTTTCAACAAAAGTTTAGTAGGCAGTTTTATTTGTTACTTTTAAAAAGAGTAAATGTTTATTGGGGTTTTATTGCATTTTTGAAAACATACAACCCACGGAGTGTTGGCTCCTAGCTCATTGACTTCTACAGCTGTTTTACAAGGCTTGGATTTCCTTTTGTGCATGTCTCTGAATAGATGCTGGCGAAGTATAACACAAGGGTGCACAGTGGCGTGCCAGGGCACATGACTTTCCCACTTTTAGTACAATCATTTAAGACACACCAGGGTGGAAATATGTAAGGTTAAACCTAGTACACTAGCAGAGGTAAAAGGCTGCAAACTGGTATGTATGAGTTCTTAGTGTAAGACCAGTGTTTAATCTCTAAGCAATGCACCTTACCATTTCCGCGTGTCTGTTACAAGTGGAGAAAGCATTTATGGATTTGAAAAAAAAGAGAAACTGGGACTGGTATGTATGAGTTCTTAGTGTAAGATAAGTGTTTAATCTCTAAGCAATGCACCTTACCATTTCTGCATGTCTGTTACAAGTGGAGAAAGCATTTATAGATTTGGAAAAAAAAAAAGAGAAACTGGACTTTTAAAGCTGTGCTGTCTATTTGTTGCTTTTGCCAGAGGGAAAATTGGCAGCCGAAAAGTCGGCTTGAGATGGGAAAGGTGTGGGAGGAAAGTGGTTGAGTATGTTTCAAACAGGAAGCAAGACTTTCTGGACCTGAGATGAGGATGGAAATATGTAGCATTAAACCTAGTAGGAGTCTCATCTATAGTAGATTCATTGAAATTAAAGGAGTGATAACTATTTTCAGTATCTATAGTAGATTCATTGAAATTAAAGGAGTGCTAACTATTTACAATACATAACCTCTCCCTAATGGCTGGGATGAGCCAACAAGTTGCATGGGTGTATCTGATTTGACTATTATATAGGCAGACTTGCTATGATATCAGTCTACAAGCTATAACCAAAAGAACCAAGGAACAAATTCTTCACCCCAGGAATGCTTCAGTTCTCAAGTTGTGACCATACAGAGAGAAAAAGAGTGGATGTGTGGGAAAATATGTTTCGGTCGTGCAGATGTGAGGTATGAGAGCAATGAATTTGAATTTGACTTGTTTATTTTACTCTTGTGGTTATTTTTATCATCTTGATTTACTGTTTGTTATTCTTATTAGTCTGTTAAATGACCTGAATAGTGTGTCGCACTAATGGGGCAGTATAAAAATGAATGAATTAATGAATTAATTAATGTAAATCACAAGCCCACTGTCACGTTCCCCCTGTCCCTTGATAATTAATGTAAATCACAAGCCCACTGTCATGTTCTCGCCTGTCCCAGGGCACAAGCTACGTGTCATTCAGCTGCCACCAATTGATTACATCAACATTGTTTACTATTAATGATAAGAGATCCAGGTAATGTGTCATTTTTAAAAGAACCAAATAGAAGTTGTTTATTATTTCGTGTGATGAACGTACAATCAATGTTGTTAACTCTTAACATTCTACAGTGGTGGTAGAAGTTGTTTATTATTTCGTGTGATGAAGGTACAATCAATGTTGTGTGCCTCGCTAGACAGTTATCCCGCATGACAGTTTTTTCGCTAGACATTGACTTTTTGCGATCGCTATAGCGATTCGCAAAACAGTGATTCCTATGGGGGAATTTCGCTGGACAATGTTTGGTCCCTGCTTCACCAACCGATTTTCGCTAGACGACGATTTTGACAGCTCCCTCCGCACTTGCAAAACGGGTGTTTTCAGGACCTAAGCTTCGCAAGACAGCGATTTAAACAGCTGATCGGTGGTTCGCAAAGCGGTTTTCCTATGGCCGATCTTCGCTAGACAACGACGATTCTTCCCGATTGGAACGCATTAAACAGGTTTCAATGCATTTCAATGGGGAAACGCTTTTCGCTAGACAATGATTTCGCTAAACAGCAATTTCAGTGGAATGGATTATCATCGTCTAGTGAGGCACCACTGTACTTCGTCCACTCTCAACCGCCCTCTCTCTCTCTCTCTCTCCCCAAACTCCAGAACCGCCAGTCCCCCTCTCTAAAACAGGCACCACTGTACTTCGTCCACTCTCAACTGCCCTCTCTCTCTGTCTCTCCGCAAACTCCAAAACCACCAATCCTCCACTCTAAAACTCTCCAACTCCCCCTCTCTAAAAACCCCTCCTCCAGAGAATCTTATATCTCATGACTCTGTTTCTCCAGCACTCTCATTGGTCCATGCAGATAGCATATTAATATTCATGATCCGGGTGGATGCCACACCCACTTTGCAAATCCATAGTGTCAGGGAGAGAATAATTCAGTGGTGTAGTTTCGTCTGCACAGAGTCCTGAGTTTCATCTAGTGCTTAATTCTGAGAAATGGGGGGGTGGGAGAGAGAAATTAATTCAAGGACTCAGGACTGTCTGGAAATAACTCTCACCATCTGGAACCTTTTGCCACTAAGCTCGGATGGCCTACACAAGTAACTGAGTGAGGTGGTAGGATTGTCTGTTCCACTCCAGACTGCAGTTTTCGGGGAGCACATTGCTTAATGCAACTCTATGTCAAAAGAAAACAAAAACCAAAGCAAAGGAAAATAATTTTTTTCCTGGCAATTACAAAATACTAACAATTCAGGAAGAGTAGTTCTATTCAAACCGATTTCCTGATGTGCTAGTTTCTTACTTGCTAGAGATATTTTGTTCAGAGAAACATTGTTTTGAAAAGATTATTTTCTTCCAAATGTTGTATGAATTGATTCAACCATTCTACTGTTTACAGCAGTGGTCCCCAACTTTGGGCCTCCAGGTGTTCTTGGACTTCAACTCCCAGAAATCCTGACCAGCAGATGTGGTGGTGAAGGCTTCTGGGACTTGAAGTCCAAGAACATCTGGAAGCCCAAGGTTGGGGACCACTGGTTTACAGCATCTCATTCTGTTGTAGAACTTACCTCAGAAAAGAAGATACTGTATTTTTCCGTGTATAAAATGACACTTTTTCCAAAATAATTAAAGGTAAAATTGAGGATCGTTTTATACTCAGAAGTAAGGGGGGGAGGGATCAAGTACTTTGATCCCTGCTTTCCCCCTCCATGTTTTCAAAGAAAATGGAGGGGAAAAGCAATTTCTACTTTCCCCTACATTTGTGTTGCAAAAAGCAGCTTTCCCCCTCCAAGTTCCATTTTCTTTTCTCCATTTTCTTTGCATAACGTGGAGGGGGAAAGCTGGTTTTTGCAATGAAAATGGAGGGGGAAAGCAGGAATTGCTTTCTCCCTCCACTTTCTTGCAAAGAAATAAATTTTGGGTTTAAAAAAGTGGGGGGGTCTTATACATGGGGGCATCTTATACACGGAAAACTATGGTCATGTCTTCTGCCTTACAGGTTTCACTATACATGGGGGAATCTTATACACGGAAAACTACGGTCATGTCTTCTGCCTTACAGGTTTCAGGCTAAGGCCCTGCTATGGAAACATACACAAGGACTCATCCCTAGGGAGTTGTTGTGGCTTCCGCCCAGGTCATGAATATTCATATGCTATTTGCATAGGCCAATGGGAGTGCTGGAGGGGCGGAATCAGAGATATAAGAGACTCAGCAGCAGGAGGGGGAGTCAGAGAGTTTAGATAGGAAGTTTGAGTTGAGGAGATAAGAGAGTTTGGAGAGTTTGGGCAGGAGAGTGGATAAAGGAGGATGTTTGTTTAAGAGTTAACATAGTTTGTCCTGTCAACATATATAACAATAAATAATTTCTATTTGGTTCTTTTAAAATGACATACGGCCTGGACCTCGATTATTAATAGGTAATGTTGAGGTAATCAATTGGTGGCAGCTGAGGGGCACGTAGCATGAGCTCTTAGTTTGGTGAAACCAGCAGGGGCCACCTTGGGAATCGTGGCGGTTGTGTTCATTAATTCCTGTTTTTATCCTTCCTGTCTCTAATAAAGGGTACTGGCAGCAGGAGTGGTTGGAAAACCTTTCGCTGTGATCCTGGCAGGCGGCTTCCATGTAGAAAAAAAAGTGTGATCAGGTGTAACTTGTGGAGTGTGAACAGGGCAAGAAATTGGAAGGGAAGATATCCCATCCCTCTCCAGTCACAGACTCCTTTTGGTTGTGATCTAGGTCAGTAGTCCTCAACATTGGGACCCCAGATGTTCTTGGACTTCAACTCCCAGAAATCCTGGCCAGTAGAGATGGTGCTGAAGGCTTCTGGGAGTTGTAGTCCAAGAATATCTGGAGGCCAAGGTTGGGGAACCACTGATCTAGATGGGTCAGTGGCTGTGTAAAAGGGTGTGCCTTATTTTATTCTGCCATCCAAAGCACTTATTTCCTACACAAGACAGACTTTCGGTTTTAGAATCCCTTGGTTCAGTGACGTTTCCCTTCTTGCTTAATTAAAATTCACCAACAGCATGTTTATTCTCTCAGCACACGTGATACAAATGGAAGTTTAGCTTAAGCGCATGTTATCCTTTGCTGGCATGTGGGTTTTTGGTGCTGATCCAGAACAAACTTACAGCAATTTCAGACCTCTAACAAGAAGTAACTTGTGGCTTTAATTTAATCTGTGGGATGGTGAAAAATGGCGTAGCAGGGGCATGTGAGTACATCCAGGTTCGCAGTGTACTGCTGCCTCTCATCGGAGTCTCTATTTGTGAAGCAAAACAGAGTCTTTCAGACTTGTGCATCAGAGACAGAAATGAGATGAATGGATATTCCACAAACAGTGGTTCCCCTTTGGAGCAAAAACTCATGTGTCTACAACTGTATGATTTCATTCCCACTTATCCAGTGTAAGCCTAACCTACCTTATATCTGTAACTTTAGAAAAAATACAGTGACTCGTGCTCAATGAATACCCACAATGCAGGAAAATAGACATTGTGGACCTTATGTTTCTCAGACTTTTTAATCTGAATACTTCTTTCAGGGGAGACTGGCATTGGCAAGTCAACGCTCATGGATACGCTGTTCAACACGAAATTTGAAAGTGACCCAGCCACTCATAATGAGCCTGGTGTGCGGTTGAAAGCCAGAAGTTACGAACTTCAGGAGAGTAACGTCCGTCTAAAGCTCACAATTGTTGACACAGTGGGATTTGGAGACCAGATCAATAAAGATGACAGGTAACATTAAACTTGCCATGTAGAAGCTATACTTTGAAGGTCTGATTAGTGTATGGATTAGAGCCAAGTCTAATAGGCTGGAGAGACTTGGAGAGGAAACTTATACATTTGATCTGTTTCTAATCTGCAAGATGAAAGGTGCCATTTTTTTAAATAAGTGTTTTCCGCATGCGTTACTAGATCTCTCTGTCTTCTTTTATTAGTTTTCTGCTGTAAAACTAATAAAACTTTTATTAGTTTTCTGCTGTTATAACCACTTAAAATTTCTAATCTTTTTCTCTGAAGTTCTTTAATTCTTTGCCTCTATTTTCTCCTTTCCATCTTTTTGTTGTTTAGTCGTTAAGTCGTGTCCCTAGCCCTAAGTCATGACCCCATGGACCAGAACACACCAGGCCCTCCTGTTTCCACTGCCTCCCAGAGTTGGGTCAAATTCACGTCGGTTGCTTCGATGACACTGTCGAACCATCTTGTCCTCTGTCATCCCCTTCTCAATAAAATAAAGAAAAAAATAAAATAGGGGAAAAATAGAGAAAGAGTTCAAGAATTGGCTGGAGGGAAGGCCTGGATGTATAACCATGTTTTTAATTGGGTTTTAAAGATGCCCGCACAAATCTCCGGAGGGAGGTTGTTCCAGAGAGGAGGAGCCACTGCCGAGAAGGCCCGGTTTCTATGCGGACCTTTAAATTTTTGGTTCCATGGCTCTGTGCTATTTCTTGCTTCTGTTGATCTTCATTCATCTATTCTGGTTTTGTAATTTTTGCTATGCTCCTCATCTCATCTTGCTGCTTGTTCCTTCACATTATGGCACATATGCATGAATTCTTGACACACAGGAGCATGCGTGTATTGCATATATCTTGTTGACAGAGGAGTGCTTTTTCAGTCATGTTGAATTGACTCATGGGCTGCAGTTGTGTGGCTTGGTATAGTAAGTTGCATTAGAGCAGGCCCATTGAGTGAGTGGGGATTTGGCGAGACAACTGTTCTATATGTTTCATTCATTCAAATAGTATACTTTCATTGTGACTTATTATGCGAAAGTGATTTGCAACTAGAGTAGGCCCATTTGAATCAGCGGAACCTATGACTCACAAAATCCCCACTGATTCAGTGAGCCTACTTGAGTATGAGTTACTACACGAAGCAAAAGGATTTCAGCCATAATTTTCCTTTACTTGTAGAAAGGTGCCAAAGTCTTTAATTCTTGTTTATAAGTGAGCTTTGTTCTGTTTCCCTGTTTAGAGTGAATAAGTTAGTTTATAAGCCTGCTTTGTCTATTGCAGCAATTTTAAAATAAATAAATAAATCATGGCACATCTTGAAAAGAGAAAATTTATTACATCACGAACTTTTATGGACACAACCCATTGTTTTAGCTGGAGTGAAATGTAGGGTCCAATCTGTGTACAGTATTTATGGTTAATAGTAATAATTAGGTTGCACCAAGTCAATTCTTACTTGCACCGCTCTTCCCAGGATTATCTAAGTACTTAGCAGTGGTTTACCACTCCTATTTCTGATGCTCAGCTTGTCCAAGGTTACACAGGTAGCAGATCATATTACTGTAGCTACCTATGCTCTGGGCGATCTTGTCTGGCCTGTCTTCCAAAAGGCACAGTGGACTTTCAGATTTCTGGAGCCTGGCACCATAGATGAGCACCTCAACCCACTGATCTATGCCAACAACTTTACTTCTGCACATGATTATGGACAGTGTATGATTAATAATAATCATGTGACATTGATTCAATTCTGACTTAAGGCGACCCTTTTCAAGGGTCTCTAGGTAGAGGATGCTCATAAGTGGTCTACTCTTCCCTTCTTCTAGGGGCACCCTGGGACTATTCAGCTTGCCCAAGGCCATACAGGCTGGCTTTACTCACAGGAAGCACAGAGGAGAATTGAACTCCCAACCTCTGGCTCCACAGCCAGATACCTAAATCGTTGCACTGTCCAGCCACCCTTAGTGTATGATTAGGTGTAAGAAACAAATTGTTCAGAGGGAATGAGAACAGTTTTAAATGCAGAATTAGTAAGTTGCATTAGAGCAGGCCCATTGAGTGAGTGGGGATTTGGTGAGACAGGTCTTCTATATGTTTCATTTATTCAAATAGTATACTTTCATTGTGACTTATTATGCGAAAGTGATTTGCAACTAGAGTAGGCCCATTTGAATCAGTGGAACCTATGACTCACAAAATCCCCACTGATTCAGTGAGCCTACCTGAGCATGACTTACTACACTAAGCAAAAGGATTTCAGCCATAATTTTCCTTTACTCCTGAAGCCTTTTCCATGAGTGGATATAGCCACAAGGCAGTGGAGGTTTGAAATCGGAGTTTTCCTTCTCCTAGATGGGCTGCCTTCCATGGCTGATGAGCCCCACCTACCCGGCCTGCTCTTTAATAGTGCGAAAGTATTAGCAGAATTATTAGCAGAGACAATTACGTTAAAGAAGCTTCCTGAATCCTGACACAAGATGGTGTAATAAGAATTTGTTACGTGATGCTGTAGAGCAGTTCTTACCCTCTTTCCTCTTTGATGTTACCCTGTGTTAAATAAATTAAGATTTCTTTTGGAGGACTGCCTGCTTCTGAAATCTCACACAACACCAGTGTCACGCCTTTTACTGTCTAAAAAGGGGTGGGGGAAGCCTGTGTCTGTGCAACTGACTTGTGCAAATCATAACATTTGGATAATTTTGTTAGCATTGTTACAGAACTTAGAAGAGCTAATTTTTGGACCACAATTCTGAGGATATTCAGAAGTTGTAATACAAAATAATGTTAATAATAATAATAATTTCCCAAGCTCTAGAGATACATGAAAGAAACAGATTGACTAAGCATCATTTTATGAATATGTGATCCATATGTGTGTGCTTATACACGTCTTTGTTTCAGAATTTTTTCTGAAATGGCCCTCTTTCAAAAGGAGATCTAAAAGGTCCCTCCGTTTTGCTGCGGTTCACAGCCAAAGGCTCATCTTTCCCACTTTCTGTGCTGAAGCGGTTAATGAAGGCATCAGGCTTTTAAAATAATGGAAAGATGTGTGTGCACTGAAGTAGTTCTTGAAGCCTCAGTGCATTTCCAAGCTGAGGGTGGGGGAGGGACCCTTAAGCAGAAAAGCCCGCCCCCAAGAGGCAGATGTTCCAGGTCGGAATGGGACTGCCACTTGTCATTTTGGGAGGCTTTGGATCTGATTTAATTCAGCTGGAGCTGGGAGTATTGTCTCCATCATCTCTTGAGCCTTCCTTTGTTAACGGCCTTACAGAGGGGCTCACCCTAACCCGCTGTGGCAGTCGGGGAGCTGCGTGCTTTTGTCACAGTTTGAGGCTTGTCCTAAGCGACATAATTTGGGATAGTAACTGCAGTGAGTCTCCTCCCCTGGAGAGCTCACTGGCTTATTTTCATGATTTCATGGCTTGTTCTCCCCCCTGGGGATTGTCTCCTCTCTGCTCCGAGCAGGACAGCCCCCCCCCAAGCTGTCAAGGCTGATCCTATGCTGCAGTGTTGACTGGGGCCTTTGTGGAACACCCAAGAATGTGCGTATGATGAACTCCCATTTCCTGATTTTTTTTTAATTTTTAATTTTGGAATGGGTAGAGGGAATGGACACTTTGGAGAGAACCACTTCTAAAAACTGCCTTTATTTTTAGTGACAGTATCATCGTTATAAGTTCTAGACTGGGTTGAGGACCAAGAAGAATGATGGGATACAACATTTCCATCTCTTTCATGGTTTAGGAAGCTTGAGACTTGAATTGACAAATAAATGGTTTGCCACAGAAATGGTGAACACCTCAAGACTATTGTTATAGGACCCAGGATTTTCTTTGGCACCACAGGGGGGGGGAAATCTGCAAAAAGAGAGGGAGAGAGAGACAGAATTACTGCTCCAGAAAGCCACCGAATACACAGATTCTTTTTTTTTTTTAAAGAAGGGAAATTTGTTTGTTTATTAATTAAATTTTTATACCACTTCATTTAGTGCTGTAGCACTACTTTGGGTGGTTTCTCTTGCAAAGCCGTATGTGGGCTTCTGGCCAATTTTAAGCTCAAGTTTTTATTTTACGGGGTCAGTGCAGTTCTTGGGTTAGGGAAGTGACATCTGTTCACACCTGGCAAAATATGCAGCAGCCCACGAGACTTGATTTGTGGTTTGGTGAGAGATTCGATTTGTAAGCAGTTCTGTATCCTTCTACAGTTGTGTCCTGCAAACTGGAGTACAGTCCAGAGGCAAAATAAAAGCAGTCAGTCTAAACCGTGGTTTGGGTGTAAATGGGGAGGAGTTCACTATTTTTAGTGGTGGCTACACTGCGATCTGGGAAATATTTCGTATTTCAAAAGCACAAATAAGGGGCTAGCAAGTGCTGCTGTCTGTAGAAAAGGAATTAATGGCTCCATGCTAGAACACAAAGATTCTGCCGTTGATCAATTCTGCTCCTCAGATTTAAAAAAAAAAAGGTTAATTCATCAATGTATATAAAAGCCCTGGTGTTTCAGGTCATAGGATCCAAGGCTGACCAGGTACACCAAGTTTAATAATAATGTGCTATCATGTTATGGTGACCCTTGCTGTAGAGTTCTAGGTGTAGAGAACACTCAGAAGCGGATTATTATCCCTTCCTTTGGGTGTTGCTCAGGGACTCTGCAGCTTGCCGATGGCCAGACAGGCTGCATACATAATATTTAATCTTGAATAAAAAAGGAAGCATTTTCAGTAGGATAGTTGGATGAGCCACCTCCGTAGCTAATGAGCCTGCCCAGAAAAGTTCTTTAAAGCTATGTCTCTAAGTAGAGAGACCAAAATATCATGCTTTAACAGACCAGGACAACCTGGGCTTTCAAATCCAGTTGAACTGGCAGAACTACTTCCAGACACGCATTCTCAGAAAAATCTAGATTTCTGAGTTTATTTTAAATGGGGTTGGGAGTAGCCACGCTAGAAGCCTTCAGTTTGCTGACTGGGCTCTAACTAGCAAGAAAGCTATTTTAATG